CCGCCGCCATCTATGATCGCTGGCTGGCTCCACCCCGGTTCCCCCTGCCATCACCGCCATCAACCATCGCTGGCTCAATGATCGCTGGCTGGCTCCTCCCTTACCCAGGCATAAAGCCTCAGTCTGTGGCTTGGAGCCGACATATGCAAATTAGTCGCCATCTTGGTTGTCAGTTAATTTGCATATACTCACTGATTAGCCAATGAAAAGGGTAGCGGTCGTACGCTAATTACCATGTTTCTCTTTTATTAGTGTAGATGTGTTTATATATGTATATATGTTATATCTATATCTGTGGATAAGTATCTATGATATGTTGTATTTATCCATACATAAACTATATATAGATCTGTCACAGCAAACAGCATATCACTCATAATTTTTGAAGATATCATTATTAAAATATTTAACTACAGCTAGTCGTTCCTAAAATAATAATTATAACTAACAATCATAGCAGTTTCAGGTCCCAAGCCCTGTTCTGAGTGTTTTGCCAGTGTTACCTTACTTAATTCTCACAACAATTCTATGAGCTAGTGCATAGCCCACCAAGAGCTCTTCTTAGGCTCAACCAAATGCTCACACTCACCACGTGGCTATGGGCCACCAGCCTGGTCCAGAGGCTGTAGGAGAGGAACCACAGCTCGCCAGCAGGGCAGCTTCAGACACTTCTCTTCCATAGCAGCTCAGGGGCAGGAAACAGGACCCACAAGCACAGTATCCACCTGGCTTAAAGCCTCATTCTCCACCACAGCCAATACCTTCTGTAGGGCTTTTTTCTTTTAATTGATAGATGTGATATTTTAAGAGAGCTTTAGTTTCAAAAAAAATTAAGTAGAAAGTACAGAGATTTCCCATATACCCTCTCAGCCCTGCATACATACCAGTTTCCCTTATTATTCACATTTTGTGTTGGTGTTGCACTTGATGAACAAATGTTGATACATTATTAACTGATGTCCTTAGCTTACATTGGGTTTCACTCTTGATGTTGTCCATTCTATGGTTGTTGACAAATGTATAATGTCAATATACACCATTATTGTATCATACAGAATAATTTCACTGACTAAAAAGTCACATCGACGCCACCTATTTATCCTCCCAAACTATCCCCCTCCCAAACTCCTGGCAACCACGGACCTTTTTACTGTCTCCATAGTTTTCCTTTTACAGAATGTCATATAGTCACAGTGATACAGTATGTCACCTTTTCAGACTGACTTTTTTCACTTAGCAATGTGAAACGTTGGCATATGTGGAGCTGATTTTAGAATGGAGTCAGGCAGCCTTTCCAGAGGAAATGCATTGCACGTCTTCCTCCTTGAGCCTTTGGAATGTTGGAACTGGGCGAAGTAACCTTCAGACTAGGTCAGAGCAGTACTGTCTCCCAAACAACTGTTTGTAAAGCTAAGAGGAAAGCATACCTCCTAACTATAGGACTGAAAATTAAGGACATTCTTTGGAGTTAGCACCATCACGTATGGCTGAAGAATCACTCAGCTTATTTGCACCAATAGAAATTCCTTCCTTCTATTCATGTACTTATTGACCTTCCCTTTCTCATAAAAACCCCTTGTCTTCACCTCATAAAAGGAACATTATTTGAGTTCCTGCCTGAATCAGTGTTTCCCAAATAGCTACTCTTTGTAATCTCAAGTAAACTTTTTGCTTCTCAATTCAGCCTTTTATTTTTAGGTTAACAGCAATATGCTTTAATATCCCTCTGTGTCTCTTCCTGGTTTGATAGCTCATTTCTCTTTATTGTTGAATAATACTATATATTCCATAGGATAATATATCACAGTTTGTTTACCCATTCACCTATTGAAGGACATCTTGGTTGCTTCCAAGTTCTGGCAGTTATGAATAAAGCTGCTATAAACATTCATGTTTTGTGTGTGTAGACATAAGTTTTCAACTCATTTGGGTACATACCAAGGAGCACAATTGCTGGATCGTATGTTAATATCTCCTGTAAGATGTTTATAGTTGTAGCTACAGGGATCCTGAAAGGTAGAAGCCTGTTGTGAGGGTCACCATATCAGGGAAGCCCAAAGCATGCGTCCCGATTGGGTATACATAGTCCTTTCCTAATTCCACCCAGTCCAGGTTCAGTTTACCACTCAGGATTCATTTTGACCATAAACAACAATGTCTAGTAACAGAGTTGATATTTCTACTTTTCCCAAGTTACCAGGAGAACAAAGCTGGGTAGTCAACCAGTGTTTACACGTCACAGAAGAATAGTGGGTTTTGTTAAACCCTTTGCTCACAGATAGGTACTTTCATTTATCTCATTTTCCAAATGAAGAAACTGAAGCACGGAGGGTCAAGTAACTTACGCAAGATCACGTACCTAGAAAAAGTAGAGCCAAGACTCAAACACAGACATCCAGCTCCAGAGTCTGTGTGTGGAAATGCTACCTTATATGCCTCAAACATTATTTGTTTTTCCTATAAATGGAGGTATTATTTATGTAAATAGGTCATGAGTTAATATTTCTAGAATATTGGTTATAAGCCTGTGACCACTAAACTTGCTGTAATGCTGATTTTATCTAAGAGCCTCTCTATTTCTGTGCTTTGGGGGAAATTTTTCAAAGTCTCTAATTCCCAGGGGGTGGGGAAGTCCCCAGGATTTCTGGGGACTCTCACCAACTCAAGGTCTCCAGATCTTTTCTGACTCAGACCCCTGTACAGAGCTTACTGTCTCTATTTTACTTCCCACAGAAACCATAATGCAGGACTTGGCCACCTTACTGGTTTTCACAAGAAACCCAGTCACCTCAAGCTTTTTTGTGATTTTGTAAAATTTCCTGAATGTGCATGACGTCATGGAGAGGAGTCACCTTGCTTATTTCATAATATTCCACCAAACATGGCATCTGTTCCTATCCTCCGTTCTCCTTTTTCTATCTCTCTGTCCTCCTGCCCCACCCCGATTACACATAGCTTTCTCTTTTTGTCTCTCTTCCCTTCTCAGAAGGCTTCAAACCATCTAACACCTATACCCTGTGGGGAAGTTTTCACTCTTCACAGGCTCCTCAAGGTTTTTTCCACAAGAAAGGTGAGTTTTCCCCAAAAGGAACTCGTGTACCATTTGATATATAGTATATTTTTCTATCTCATTATAGTGTGATAGCTGATCAGCAGCCCATTCTAATACGCCTTCAGTGACTAGACCATATTTGATAACAGTAAGTGATCAAAACATTACCAGAAATGTGTCATTAAATATCTTTGTTTAGTGTACTACATTCTTGCTTTCCACTTTTAATTTTCCTTTCAGTATAGCCAACCAAATGGTAGAGAGAACAGTAGTAATTTCTTATTTCTCATTTAGCTGGGATTGCACATTTCTTATAAACTGCAAGTTCTACAACCTAGGAATTATTTTATCCAGTTGGTCTACTCCAAGCATGTCAAACTCGCGGCCCTTGGGCCACATGCCTCGTTTATTTGGCCCGTGTTAGCCTTTGAGTTTGACATGCTTGGTCTACTCTGTGTCATCAAATGTCCATTAGTTTTGACTTAAAGGGGTCTTTATTTACAATGCCTCTCTTTGTTAATGTTCAGCCAAAGCTGTGGTTGGCATATTAACAACAGATTGAAATATTTTATCTCTCACTCATCATCTCATTCTTGAACTAATATTTTAATACTTGCCATGTGATGTAATTTAGATTGGAGCTATCAATTTCCTGTGAGATCGTGTATTGACTAGTTTTTAGTTCAATTCAACTCTACAAATATTTTGAATGCCTGTTATTTGCAAGGCACTATGCCAGATGATGGGAGAGGTACCAAGATGATGGCTCTGTCACTGACCTCGAGAAAGCCTAGAAGGACAGATAAGACGAACCTAATAAATGTAATATAAGGTAGCACATAACTGCCATGAGAAAGAAAAAGGTGTAACTATTTTTCTATAGGTTGTTTGGAGGAAAGATTGATCACATCCAGTGGGGAAGATCAGAAGATGGCTTTGGACTAGGTCTTTGAAGACTAAATAGAATTTTGAGAGGTCAGAATGATGGGGAGAGGTGGGAGGCCCACAGAAGCAATTATATGGAAGTGAGGGCTAGCAGGGTGCTCTTGTTTGGCAGGAGCACAAGGTGTTGAGAGAGGACTTTGGGTGACAAGGTTGGAAAGGCAGGGCATGTTTCAAGAAGCTGAAAACCTGCCTTAAAATAATAAAAATAGCAGAGGCTGGAAAACCATCCAGTCTTGAAGTTATAAGCAGTTTCACCCTCTGGGGTAGAAACTGGAATTTACCTTTGGAGCCAAACTGCTAAATCAGTTTTTGTAAACATCACTTCAATGGGCCTTTTAATTGTGTGGGTAAAAAGGCAAGTAAGTACTCAAGTGTTTTTCTTAAAGAAGGCCAAAATGCGATGAAGTAACCCAAACGCAGATGCTTCAAACAGTCTATTTAGTAATGTAAATTGGGTGTATCTTAAGTTCTATTATGATCCTTCAGAGTTATAATTTTTTCCTCAATCTAGATTTAGAATTTCTTATGTCTGAAAATTGCCAGTTGTTGGGATATGTGTTGATGGGTTCTTTCTCAAGCATTTGTTTACAGGAGGTCAGGAATGAAAACCATTCTACTCCTCACAGCATGCTGAGGAAACGGCTGTAAAGGAATTGCATTTGGCTCGTGGCAGTGCTTGCAGGCTGGATTCCTGGTGGCACGTGTGCTATTGCATAGAACTAGACAGCCTAGCATTAGTAAGTGTGGTCTGGGAGGACTGGACCTGCTGAGCAAGGGAGCATGACTGATACTTCAAAGTAATGGCAAGGGCCTGGCTGTCCTTTGTACCTCTCATCCTGGGAAGACAATCCCACATCAGAAAATGAGGACTTTGAGGACAGTGTTTCTCTCTCTCCAGGCCTGGCTACCCTGCTGGGTCTGCACTCCCTAGCATGGACTTTATAGGAGAATTTTTGGTAGAGTGAACTGATTCACATGGAGGCAGGAACCACTTATTTCAAGACTCTGAGGTCATGTTTTAACCTGTGGGCTCTAAGAATAGCAACTTTTAGTAGCAGTTTTGACATTATTCTCTGTGCTATGCTTGCGTTACCCTCAAGCTTTGAATGAAGTTTCATTCAAAAGCTCCCGCCTGGCCTCTGATGTGCCCCTCCAGGGTTTGGAGTGAGAGGTCACAGGCCTGATGGACACTTTCTCTGAGTCCTGAGAGGACCTGAGAGGCAGCCCTCAGCAGAGGAAACAGCTGGGGCTTCTCTTGACGTGCAGGAGCCACACGGAGGGCCGAGAAGGCAGCCAGCCAGATCACACATGAGGCAGTGCCCTGGGGAACTCTGAAAAATAACCTTGAGAAATAATGAGAGAAACCCGACTGAAGGACATTCCACAAACAACTAGCCTGCACTCAAGAATGTGACTTTCATAAAAGTCAGAGAGGTTGAGAATCCATTCTCGAGTAAAAGAGACAAGAAACACAGCAAGTAAAGGAAATGTATGATCCTGGATTAAAGAAATAAGTGCCATAGAGGACATTTCATTACTGGGATAATTGGTGACATTTGAATATGGGATTATGTTGGATAATAATAATACATCACTGTTAAATTTTCTCAATTTGATTATTGATTGTGGTTATATAAGAACATGTTCTTGTTCTTAGGAGGTATTTAGGTCTTTAGGAGATACAATCAGGTATTTAGAAATGAAAGGTCATGATGTCTGCAACATATTCTCAAATGGCTTAACCAAAAATTAATAATAGTAATAATGTGTGTGTGTGTGTGTGTGTGTGTGTGTGTGTAGCAAGGAGGAGAGAGAGAAAAAAAATGTGACACTGAAGAGCAGTAATTTCATGAGTGAGGACTCAGCGCATAATAATTTATTATCAAAAGTGTGGCTGTACTTAGATGTGTCAGATAGTACATCTTAGTAAGGCCTGGGACATACAGATGACTTTATTTGGTAACTAGAGGCCCAATGAAAATTTGTGCAAGAGTAGGCCTTCCTTCCCCCGGCCGCTGGCACCAGCTTCCCTCCGGCACCCGGGACCTGGGCTTCCCTCCGGCCCCAGCTTCGTCCAGAAGGATGTCTGGTCTAATTAGCATATTACCCTTTTATTATTATAGATATCTTGGTAAGGCCTGAGATATACACAACATATGTTTATAATACTTAATGCTATATTCATAAGCACTGGAAAGTATGCATACCACATAATAATGTATCTCTTTTCCTATATCCTATAATAGTGATTTGGATATAGAGCCTTCTTCTTTTTTTCTTTGTTTTTAATCCTCACCCAGGGATATGTTTATTGATTTTATAGAGAGAAGGAGGGAAAAAGAGAGAGAGAAACATTGATCAGTTCCTCCTGTATGTTCCCTGACCAGGGATGAAACCCACAACCTAGGTGTGTGCCCTGACTGGAAATCAAACTCACAACCTTTATAGGATGATGCTCCAACCAACTGAATCTTCTAAATGCTTTGTTTTATATTATGATGTAGAACAGGTGTGCTGATTGGCATGCCTGGTTCACTTGCTATCCTGAAAGCATTTCGATTTAACTCATTTCTGCATCCTTAACATCTAGTAATGTCTAATAATGATGGTTAATGAATGAACTAAATGAATTGGATAGGTGTGTAAATAGAACTGAAAGGAGGCAATGAACTTCCGCCACTCAATGAGACACTCAGCATGGACAAAAAGGAGATTTAAAAATGGGCCAATCTTCCTGATGAGATCTGTCTAGAAACTTGTCTTTCCATTTGTGTGCTGTGGTATCCTCTTTAACCCAGATTCACATGTGGCTTTCATCTGGCACCTGTATGACTTGCTCTGACCATATTCCTTCCTAATTGGGGATCGCAGCAATCGGCCATCCTGAGTTCAACCTTGTTTCTGGCATTTGCTAACTCCATCTGTTTGATGCATTCAGACTTGAGTAGGTGAAGATCTTGATTTCTGCCATGCATTTCCCTCCCTGAGGACTAATAAATTAGAGGCCACATTGAATTGAATGTTAAGCCCATTCCAAATGATTGACCAAAACATAGAATTCTTGGCTGGGAAGAGATAACTACCAGACCATATTGTGGAGCATGTATTCCAGTGTTGGGTGTGTGTGTTTCATAGGCAGAATAGGCAAGGAGGTAAGAATTGGTAGATGTTAGCCAAAACCAAAATAGATATCTGTCCATTTAAAAGTACCGTGCTAAGCCTTGAGGTTTAGTAAAAATAAATAAATAAATAAAAAGCACATAAAACAACAACACATAGTTCCTAAAGAAAGGAGACACCTTAACACATAACATAATAAACAAAGCGCAGTGGTGTTGATTTGCATAGGATATCATCAGGTGACCAGAGCTGTAGTTCTGAATGTGGTACAAATTAGACAGACTTGAGGTTAATACTGGCTATCTCAGGTCATGTGGATCTGGGAAAGTGATTAAACCACCCGAACCTCATTCTCCATCTGGGTGTAAAATCTACCTCATAGGCTTGTTTCAGAAATTAAATGAAATAATGTAAGTAAAGAATTTGATACAATTTGGAACAGAGTAGACATTCAATAACATGGTAATTAACAATTGGGGTTAATGTTATATCTATAAACTATCTATTAGTAGTGTTACTCTTGGGCAAAATTTGAAAACTGTCAAATAATGTTTCACTGGATCATATTGTAATGGATTCATTAACAAGTCAGCTACAATTAAGTGCATTTCTTTTTTGACATGGTTACTACCACACATAGTTACTAATAGTTAAAAAGCGCTGTTAGTGGGTTTTAGCAAGGTGACCAGCAAAGTCTTCCATGACACTCCATTAGGAGTTTGGGGAAACTGGGTTAGGCCAGGTGATGGTACAGCTAGGTGGGTTTGCACATGGTTGGTGGCTTTTACCAAAGGGTGATGTAAATGTGAAGAGAAGTGTATAGGGCCATTGTTTTGCCCTGCTAATTAAAAAAATTTATAAACAAGTTAGAAAAAAGCTTTAAGGTTAGTCTCATAAGATATGACTTTTCATAATGGATTCAGGATCCCAAATAAGTTCTCTCCTCAGACCAGAAAAACAGGTCAAGGCTCCTTGAATTTTTTCTCTACAAAATAGTTGTGAGTATTATAGGCTACATGTTCTGAATTCACAAAGAAAACAGTAAATCTTAAGTGCTCTGCTCCAGACTAAAAGCAGGGAAAATATTAAACTATCCATTTAACAGTATATTAGAGATGTATTCCTTCTATAGAAAGAGAGACATTGTGCTTTAAATCATACAGTATGTCACTGTTATACTAAAAATGCATATGATACAATAAGAATGTAATCCAGTTTCTTGATGTCCCAGTTTTATCATTCTGGTAGATAGCTGAAACTTTTGGTGACAAAATATAAGCTTTCTCTCTGAATTTTCTGATAAGCTTCCAAATTATACACAGATCTTGGCTTTGTGATTAAAATAAAAGTATTTCCTCTAAAGCACTTGATTACTCAAACTTTCCTTTTAGTGTTTAATAACATCACCATGGGTGTTTGCATAGCATTATGCCTTAAAACACAATTTATTTGGCTTCTATTTTCAGGGAGCCTTATAGGTTATGTCGAGTTGAAAACGTGTTGTCTCAGGGGGAGAAAAGGGAACATATGTAATACTTTCAACAATAAAGATGTTTTAAAATATGTTGTCTCAATAGAGAATATAGCATATACTTAGGTGGGGCAGGTGCTTGTTACAATCTTTCTACTCCTTGGAACCTGAATAACAGCCTTTCCAGATGTGAAAAAGCCAAGAGAATCTGTGCAATGATCTATGCATAACCAAGCAACAGGAGCGTACTTCTGGAATGCGTTAGTCCCTCGCATTGGGGATTCACCTCACATTGGGGTAGCCACTTAGTGCCTCATTGTTCAGCGCTAGTGGTGATAAGATTTGACGTGTTCACACAAAACCTCTACTGGGTGGACTTCTGTTCCCCTAACATCCTTGTATTTCCCAGAACTCAGAATGTGACCTTATCTGGAAAAAGCATCCTTACGGATATAAGTAGTTAAGATATTGGGCTCTAAATCCAATCTAACATGTTCATGTAAGAAGAGACACAAACACACACACAGAGGGAAGGTCATGTGAAGACGTAGATACAGATACACAGGGAGAACACCGCATGGTGACAGAGGCAGAGGCTGGAGTGATGCATCTACAAACCAAGGAACACCAAGATTGCTGGCAATACCAGAAGCTAGGCAGGGACAGATTCTCCGCTGAGGCCCTGGAGAGAGCAGGGCTCTGCCACAACCTTAATCTCAGACATTTAGCCTCCAGAACCGTGAATGTAATGCTCCACATTCCTGGCTTGGCCATCTCTTCCTAGGAGGCATTCCCTCTCCCTCCTAAGAGCTCTCGGTGCACTCTATGCTTCGCCCAACATTACTCACCCCTCTGTGTTACACTTGCTTGTGTGTGTAACAAACAGGAATTTTGCTCTTCACTACTCAGATGCAAGCAATGTCACATTCCATTATTTCCAAAATTAAAAATAAATGTGCTCCTCATTCTCATCCTCTTGAATCATAAGAATTCTATCTTTGGGCTTCCTCCCCGCCCCACACTCCCGTGAGATGACCCCAGAATTGTGAGTTCATGTAATAGCAAAACACTGCTTCTCCAGCTGCATGAAGCTGCAGTGCCTGCTGCCCTGCTGGGTACTGGTTGTCTGGTGACACAAGGACAGC